GAGCGGTTTATCGACCGGTCGAGATTTCGGGTCAAAACAAGCCGTCTGCGAGTTCTTCTAACTCTTCGCGGATATTTCCAGTTTTCTATGAAAAAATCATAAAATTGTGCCGCATGTGTGCGAGATACTAATACCGAGATTTTATGGCTAGCCGAGAACTTTTTCTGAAAGATATTCCGCGTTCCCAATTTTCTAAAAAAAAAGGTGTGTTTGTGCGTGAGTTCACCGATTTTATAAAACATTTACACAACGTATTTATACACCGCGATCGAGTTTTCATCACTTTCTTCACGCCGTGCCTGTGCGCGAAAACTTTTCCACTCTTCAAGGAGATTCGCACGATTCTCGCAACGACCGCGCTCTCTCGAGCGAGCACGATTCGAGCGCGTACTGTAACACAATCGAATTACTTAATAATAATAGCTAACGACTAACTTTAAAGCGGAACCGTCGATATATGTGTCGATTTAATTGTATCTCCCGCGCATATTATGCGCGGTTTAATCAAACTGAACCAATAATATATATAAATACATTTTTGAGACTAATATACCGAGAGATTTTACGGAGACTAAGCCTGAATACAGGATGAGGATGACTTTTCCATATACGGAAACTTCGAAAATGTTTTCTCTTTCAACGAGAACGACGGTATCGGTTCTTCTATGCTTAGAACGCGTTGTGCTTAGAAATCTTTCCTCTCGGATGAATCTCGTCGAAAGATTTCAACGTATTCAATACATTTTATGTTAATTAAAACTTTACCGTTTTTTAATCTCATTCTAATGTAATTTTATACCATTTTGGTATAATATTTCGTTCTTCGTACAACACGCTGCGCTGATTTATTCTCTAAACGAATTGATACGGGACTCGTTGGGAATGCTGGCGTGTCGAGATACTTGTTTTTGTACTCGAAAAAAGAACTTGTTAAAGAAACTTTCGCCGAGCTGAGAATACAATCGATGCATTCTGAGCTGGTAACTCTAATATTCGATGATGTACGCGTGCTGCCTGTCTCTTAATTTTTTGAAACGAAAGGGTCAATCGTTTTCTCGTTTGTTTCAAGTGAACAATTCTTTATTCGATTAAAACACTCGAGATCAGTGCAATTGGCGCAAAAAAATAAAAATGGCCGATATTAGGAACTTGTAGAGAACGAAATCGAGAAATTTCAAGCGTGATATTATACCGACTACTAACAGGAATAATAATATGTTGATTAATTATATTTTTTCATAGCCGATAACACGTCGACGTTTGTAAAGTTAAAAACAATCTCTGTTTTATTTCATTAGAACAGCTTCTACGAGCAAGTACAGTGTATACGAGACAATTATTTAAACGAGCATTGCATTATTTTTTCGAGAACGAGGATGGATGGGAAGTCGGCTCTGGTTATATTGTATCGTACCTCTTTTCTGATTTATATAATCTAAGTTGTACGTATAGCTCTGTAAATAATTGTAATACTAATGGTACTACGAGAGCAAAAAATGTTGTCGGCGATGTTGCGCGGCCGCGACCAACGATATAAACGCATTTACGTTATTTAGGATGGAGAAGAGAAGCAAGCCTTCGGAGCGAGCGTTAAGCCTTCAGAGATTTCGTATCTTGCAAACGGGGCTGCACGTTAGATTCAGTTAATCGTTTAGAGATCGCTTCTCGATCAATTATCGCGAGAACGCTGCGTTTGCATCGCAAAAATCGATTCGATGTAGCTTAATACTTAGACCTTAGATGATTGCAGATTGTTTCAGATACATTCTCTGTGCAGGTGTGTTAAAAAAAAATAATAAAATTGCGACAATACCATTATTTCTGTGACTCTCGACGCCAGTTGTTTAAATATGACTCTACCGGACGAACAAAGAAATGCGCAGCAGTTGAAATATTATAGGTATTATATTCATGTTTTTATGTAAATAAATTTTTGGTATATTTCAATGATCGATGATCCGTTTTCTATTTCATTCCGTCTCTCACACGCCATATTCCTCGATATTTATTATAAAACGATCCCTTTAGATTATAATATATTTCTTTCTTTCTTATAGAAACGATATACTCTCTCTTTTATATTTTATAATGTAAATTTCTTTTATATTTTATAATGTAAATTTCTCGATAGCAAAATTATTGCGAAAAATAAAGTTTATTTTGATAGAATAATTTTATAAGATTCTTATAAAAAAATTAGCTAATATAATTATTATATAACTTGATATTATACCGACTACTAACAGGAATAATAATATGTTGATTAATTATATTTTTTCATAGCCGATAACACGTCGACGTTTGTAAAGTTAAAAACAATCTCTGTTTTATTTCATTAGAACAGCTTCTACGAGCAAGTACAGTGTATACGAGACAATTATTTAAACGAGCATTGCATTATTTTTTCGAGAACGAGGATGGATGGGAAGTCGGCTCTGGTTATATTGTATCGTACCTCTTTTCTGATTTATATAATCTAAGTTGTACGTATAGCTCTGTAAATAATTGTAATACTAATGGTACTACGAGAGCAAAAAATGTTGTCGGCGATGTTGCGCGGCCGCGACCAACGATATAAACGCATTTACGTTATTTAGGATGGAGAAGAGAAGCAAGCCTTCGGAGCGAGCGTTAAGCCTTCAGAGATTTCGTATCTTGCAAACGGGGCTGCACGTTAGATTCAGTTAATCGTTTAGAGATCGCTTCTCGATCAATTATCGCGAGAACGCTGCGTTTGCATCGCAAAAATCGATTCGATGTAGCTTAATACTTAGACCTTAGATGATTGCAGATTGTTTCAGATACATTCTCTGTGCAGGTGTGTTAAAAAAAAATAATAAAATTGCGACAATACCATTATTTCTGTGACTCTCGACGCCAGTTGTTTAAATATGACTCTACCGGACGAACAAAGAAATGCGCAGCAGTTGAAATATTATAGGTATTATATTCATGTTTTTATGTAAATAAATTTTTGGTATATTTCAATGATCGATGATCCGTTTTCTATTTCATTCCGTCTCTCACACGCCATATTCCTCGATATTTATTATAAAACGATCCCTTTAGATTATAATATATTTCTTTCTTTCTTATAGAAACGATATACTCTCTCTTTTATATTTTATAATGTAAATTTCTTTTATATTTTATAATGTAAATTTCTCGATAGCAAAATT